GTTTCTGACGACGCCACAGCGACTGCAAGAGAATGCAGCGACGCCGCACGAGCTGGAACCGGCGGTGGCGCTGGTGACAGCGAAAGTTGGCCTGCAGGCGGACAATGGCCGATCGCACGCGCGTGAACATCTTGCGCACGCGGTACCTACCCGTGATTGCAGTCAGTTTCCCGTCTCCCCATATCGTATCAATGTTGCGACGTATCAAGGTAGCAAGGAGGTGCGTACCCTTTGAAGACGCGCTGGATCGCGATCGCGCGGTCTTGCACAAAGAGGATGCGACGGTGCTCGAGGTCTTCGAGAACGTTGGCGGCAAAGTACATGTGGTGCGAGCCCATGACAAACGTGTCTTTGGATTCGGGCGCGTTCAAGAGGCCCGACGCGACCGTGACGCACGCAGTCGCGACGGTGGCCCCGGATTTCGGCGGCGCGTCGTCCTTCCACATGACAAAGAAGCGCTGGAGAAAGCGCTCGTGCGACATTTTGTTGGGAAAGGCCGCGCGCGAAATGCGAATGGCTTCGACGACGCCGGCGCAGCGCAGCTGCTCAATGACGCCATGCACATCAAAGAGCGTGCTCGATTTCGCACTGTTGGGCTTGATGCACCGAATGTAGTGCGTCTGCGTATCGCTAATGTCGGCCATGAGGCCCGTGAGCTGCGCCTTGAACTTGGAAATGACCGTCTCGCCTAAAATCCCGTCATTCAAATGATTGCGTATTATCCAGGTATCCAGGATACCCATAAACGACGCAGTCGACATGCGACGGCCGCCAAGGCCACTCGGTTTCTTGCTCGGCGACGGCTCAAAGACACTCGTGAGGATGCGATTGCCACTCGCGCCAAGGAGCGCAACGACGTCGGACGAGAGCGCGTCCTTGTTTGTGTCGACGAACGCTTCCACGTTGTACATGACCGTGCCTGCATAGTGCCGCAAGGCAAAGTGTGCCGAACTCAACTACCTCGCTTGATAGCTTGATGCATTGATGAATTGATAGATTGATACCCGCGCGCGCTGCTTGTCCAAACGTGGGTTGGCGTCGTGACTCGAGAGCACTTTGGAGCAGAACGCGAGGTCGTTGCCCATGGGTCGAATGCACTCTTCGTTGAGCAGCGAGATGACGCCAAGAGGCGCTTCGAGCATGTCGAGCATGTCTTGGTTGTCGCGGAAGCTCACGTACGTCCACCCGAGGCCTTCGCGCGTGTACTCCTACCCATGTTTCTGCTCGCACTATCAATGTATCAAGTAGCGACGTACGTCCTGGACGCTCTTGAAGACGTCGTGCGTAAACTTTTGCTGCAGCTTTTCGTTGGCAAAGTTGATACAAAACTGTTCAAACCGGTTGGTCTCGAACGCTTCAAAGCCAAAGATATCGAGCAGATCCATGTGCCCGACCGTCGCGTCGTCGTTCGAGATGCTCTCGTTGACGCGCTGGACGAGGTGCTTGAAGAGGCGCGCGTACACTTCTTTCGCGAGCGCATCGCGGTTCGCCGTCGCTTGGTCGATCGTCAACGGGACGACGTACACCTCCATGCGCGCCTTGACGGTCCGGCTGCAGAGCGCGCTGCCGAGGGCCGTCGGGTCGGCTTGGAACCCAAGGAGGCGGCACGCGTGCGCCCAATGCGGCGACGCCGTGATCGGCGCGCACTCTTCGGCGTTCTCGGCCTTGGACGCAAACGCCACTTGCCCCAGGTGCAGGATGCCGGCGAGCGCATTCAGGAGCGCCATTTGCTCGTCGACCGAGACGCCGATCGTGGAGAGCGCATCTCGGGTCGTCTGGTACCGTGCGGCGTCTGTCTCGCCGTCTAGAAGCAGCGGCGGCGCGTCGTCGCGAAGGTAGGTAAACGTCGTCTCCGAGAGCGCCCACTCGGGCTCCTTTGACGCCTTGAGCTGGTAAAAGATGTGGTAATTACGCTCGGACGCGGCTTGATAGATGACGCGGGACTTCTCGAGGAGGTAGTGCCTGCACTTGGCGCCGACCATGCGCTGGTCCGCGTCAAACTGCAGCTGCGTAAACTTGCCAAACCGACTCGAGTTGTCGTTCCGAACGGTCTTGGCGTTGCCAAAGGCTTCGAGGAGCGGGTTGGACTTGAGGACCTTGTCGATGATGCTCATGTTGGGGTCGGTGCTCAGACTCGCAATGTGCTCCATCATGATCTTGACGGTCTCGGTCTTGCCAGCACCCGACTCGCCGCTGACGAGGATACCTAGAGCATGTAGCAACCGAGTGAGCACGTGGAATGATGATGATGCGCGTACTCTGCGGGCGGTCGTAGAGGGCCATCGATTCGAACGCCGCGGCGCTCGTCGCGTAAACGTGCGGCGGGAGGCCCGACCGGTCGCCAGCGTACAGCCGCTGCGTCTCCTTCGAGTAGAGGTTGAGCCACGCATATGGGTTGATGGCGACGACGATGCTGCCCGTGTACGTGTACGGGCACTGCTGCGCAAAGCGCGTGCGGAGGTTAAAACGATCGCGGCCTCGTGCAAATGGTTGAGCGAGCACATGTCTTCGACGCCCACGTCGCGCTGCATCGTCGAGCCATCCTTCGTCTCGTGGGTGTTCTGCAGCGGGAGGGCTTCGGGCATGCCCTCGTCGCGCAGGTCGATCCACTTGTCGGCGCTCGTCATGGTGGCTTCATCGAGGATGCGCACCAGCAGCCGCTTGCCGCCATCTTCGACGCGCATGACCGTCGCCGGCGCCCAGACTGCCTTGGCGTCAGGGACATATACCTTGGCACCATATACCTTGGCACCTTCCATCTTGGTCTTCGAATCCGTAGTGGCCTGGCAGGCCGAATATCCAAACTCTACAGGCCTTTGTTCTGAAATAGTGTTGGCGAAGTCGGCGAAAACGCACGTAAATGGTGTGCATCGGCATGGCCTCGTCCTTGGCACCGGTGGAGGAGTCTGTACAGCGGGATGGCTGGTGGCGTGCACTCGGTACAAAGCAAAGGCGCCCTCTCGACGAATGCGCCAACGTCCAACTCGTCGTTAGCTCTTGAATGCGGCTACGCGGCGCCAACGTAAGGCTGGAGAGGGCGGTGCCAACGTCCGCCACAGCTCGTTCAGGAGTACTCGACATCGTTGTCTGCTGCATGCGGCGTCCTCGTGCACAAAGGCGCCAGCTCTTGGTGCATGCTTGTCGAGTAGAGGGACAGCACCCGCGAGCGTGCAATTTGACTCGTACACTATTTGGAATTAAAAAGTGCAATCTCGCCAGCAAGGACGCGTGCAGGGACATCGATGACGTGGCTGCGTGCTCGGCTCGTTCCTAGTTGCTTCTTGATCGACGTACTGGCACGACCGGTAGATGGCAGGCTGGCTCGTCTGCTGCAGGATATGCATTGGACCAATCACACGCCGCGCTGGCGAGCCAATCGGCGTCGGCGGTTTCCCAGACCGCCTCGACGGGACAGTGCCATGGATCTCACGCTCGTGCTGCACGAGACGACGCCGCTGGACGTGGCAGCCATCGTCGACAGCGACGTCAACTTCCGCGCGGATGCGCTCGCCGTCACGGACGGGTCTGTGCTCATCGTCTACGCCAACGTGAGCGCGAAGCTGGAGGTACGCGGCCTGCGACAGCCGACAATTCATGCCACGTGGTCGCCTAGCGCCGCCTCACGCTACCCGCCGCCGACGGCGAGCGCTTTCTTCGACTGATGTATATCGAATGGGTACGTGGCGTCAACGGATACGCGGTGGTGGCTCCAAGCCAAGGCGTAGATCAACGCCTTCCTCGTCCTGAGTCAGAAAGGCTCGACGATTTATCGCAAATTTCTAAGGTAGTACGCCGCTCGATGGGCGCTCGCCGCAGCGTTCAACCTGCACGTGGCTAGTGCGACGGCCAGTACCCTTGACGATGCCACGATCCTCTGCGCCGACGGTCGGTTGAATGGAAATATCGTCCTTTCTCAAATAAATTCTAGGCAACGTGCTCGACTGCGTCAAGAACAGCGCCCGCCATGAAGTGCTTTCAGCGGATACGCACGGCGGCCTCAGAGTGTGGTCGGCTCGGATGCGCCCGCCGACAGCGGCGGCAAGCCGACGGCACGATACCGTCAAGTGCCCGCAGCGGCTGCACATCCAAGACACAAAGGTAGTTCCATGCCTTGTCGATCGTCCGATACATGGACGACTAGAGTACCGTGTGGCACCGGGTCTGCGTCGACGACGACAATCAGCGCATTTTTGCGGCATCGCGTCGGAGCATTCGCATTTTCGATGCCGTCTCGGGCCATGTTCTCGGGCGACTGCCGAAAGCCACCGACGATCGAAGCGTGCGCTTCCTCTTGTACGTGCCGCCGACGCGCCACCTCATTGTCTACGCGGAGGAGGCTGCGCGTTTCGATGTCTGGGCCGTCCACGACGCAGCCAAAGGCATCGCCCTCGTCGACGACACACCGCTGGCCGCCTGTGCCAACGTTGTGGCGCTGCGGCTCACGACGGTCCTCGACAGTCCGTCAATGACGCGCTGTGACGCCGCTTTCGTCACCAAGCCAGGTAGACGTCCTTGTACTGCAAACGTTGAGCTGGATGCGACTAGGATTCGGGAGCCTTGTTGTCACCGACATGGCGGGGCATGTGTCCCTTTTCCGCGTCGAGACGAGTGGGTATAGCTTGAGCGTTGCTAGCTTTACCGTGCCGACTCTTCGCCTCCCCACGTCGCCTATCATGTCAAGTTGGACAGCCGACACTGGTACGTGCCAATCGTACAAGTTGACATTTTTGACATTTTTTCATTTTTTCATTTTTTCATTTTTCATTTTTTGCGATCTAGCGCCGGTGTGGACGGGGGTTCACTGCAATTTTCACTTCGCGACGCGCAACTATATCAGTCTATTGCAAGCCAATGGGACCCTCGCGCAGTTGGAAGTGCTCTCGCCCTCGTCGACATCGCGTCTCTTGACGTCGTCGTCGCGCCTGTACAACCTGCGGGTATTCTGGATGCCATCCGATAGTTTCAATCAAGTTGAACGCGGCTAGGATTTCGGGTTCACCAAAGCCTCGCGGGGCACAGCGTGTCGCCGCGGCTACGTTCTCTTTGGGAACGCGGTGGCGCAGGTGTTTGAAGACGCATGCCTCGCAGTCTCGGCGCTCGCAACCGACCGCAACGACGGCGCTGAAATCCAAGACAGCTCCAACCCGATCATAACCTTTCTCGACTATGCACCGCTCCTCGGCAAGTGCGTCGTTGGCTGGTCCGACGGTGCAATTGACCTCTTCACCCTCACGGGCACGCGCTGGAAGCTCTTGAAGCGGCCGTCCGGTGCGCATTATTGATGATAAAAGAAACTTGATAGCTTGATACATAGGTGTGATCGCCGACTGCGTCTGTGCGTTTGCCCATGTGCCGCAACGCACCATCGACGGCGAAAGCTTTCTCTTGACCGCCGGCGGTGCCGATGGGATCGTCGATACGTGGCAGCTCCACGGCCATGCTGCCACGTACATCGGGCCTATGGCCGCGCACACCGACAGGTCCATCCAACTCTATCCAACCCGATTATCCAATAAAAGATAATAGTGTGCTCGCGATTCTAAGTCCGACCGCGTCGGCCAAGCCGCCGGGGGAGCGCCGCCGAGCACGATGGTGACGGCTTCGTACGACGGCAACGTCAAGCAGTGGGACTTTCTGGACGGGCAATGGCTGCTCGTGGGCTGCTTTCGGACGCTGTCGAGCCACCTTACTGTCGCACGCGGCCTCGAAATGAACTACATTTGCACTGGGTCGGACGAAGGCAGTGTCGAAGTGTGGAAACTCCCCATGGCAGCGCGTACGATGCTTGATTTTTCTCTTGATTTTTTTTGATTTTTGAGCATTTCTCTCAATTTTAGCGCTGCATTTCGGCACGTCCAAGAAAGCAGTTGTGCACATCGCGCACGCGCACGCCCGACCGATCGCTGACATTAACGTGCACCAAATGCTTGGCGCGACCCCGGACTTGGACGTAATGGACACCCTATCTGTCTTGTTTTCGATGGACAATATTGTGTTGGTAGTGCACGCTCCTTGCCACGTCGGCCAAAGACGGCTCGATCCTGTTTTGGCTCTTTGGCACGTCGCTCGACGGCGCGTCGTTGCTCTCGTTCCAAAGCATCGCGACGAGCCAGCCTCTGTGCGGCACGTTTTTTCAGCCACCGCCACACCGTACGACGGTCTCCTCGCCTTGGTCTCTCCTTACGCTGTCGGCGTAGCGGCCACTTGACCTTTGTCGGGTGCTTGCCCCACAGCCTCGACAAGCTCTGCGTGCTACCGAGCTCTAAAAAGGCGCTCGTGGCACTCGCTCTCGAATCGTCGGCGCCATCGAGCGTCGACGCGCCAGTGTCGCCACCTCGTTGTCCGCCGACAGAGCTCCTCCCTTCGATCCCGGACGTGCCCGACACGGGTGCGTCCCTACTTGTTTTTGCTTGGTAGGGAACCACGTTTGGTTGCTTAGATAAGGAGTATCTAGTCCACGTTGAAATGACGGCGCCCATCGTCGAGCTCCACATGGACGTCGACGAGAACGACCGGTCCACGACGCGCCATACCCTCGTGGATACGGTAAACTACTTTCCTTTTTTTGAAAAATTGTGAACAAAAGAGGTGGAATAGGTCTCGTTTCACAGCGCCACGTCGGCCGATGGGAGCGGCGTCTCGGCAAGGGACGATACTGCCACCACCCTATTGAACGCGAAGGCGCAACCGGTTTGACATGCAACGAGGATGCGCGCGGACATGTGTGTTTCTAGACGCCGATCGAGCCGAAAGCGCGCACCAAAGCAAAAACGCACACCCCGTGGCTGCCTGCCGCGCTTGCCCGCGGCGCCCCCCGCGTGTACAAGACCAAGCCGCCACCTTTGGACGCGACGCATCAACGATTGAACGTCGTGTCGGCATACGGCGTTCAAAGCGAGCACAGCGATAGTCTCAGCATGCACTACCCGACCTACAAGCTCGACACGACAGCGCGACTTCGCAAAACGGCGCTTCAAAACAACCAACTCCCCCTCGTACGTCCTCCTCCGATTGTGACAAAAGTTGTCTATCGTCGTATCCTTAATGGTTGATTATGATGTAGCCGCTCTTGGAACACAAAGAGGCGCTGCCCCCCGAGGTGCACATCATCGACGTTGCGGTGCGCCCCGCGTCCATCGACCATGGACCGGCGTTCTGGCTCCAAGCGCAGTCGAAAGCGGTGGTACGATACACACGAATGGATTGCAGACAAGCGAAGCGCTTTGACCATTGGAGTAGGCGCGGCGGCGCACGGTGCTCATGCCGTCGGTGGCCCCCACGTGTGTGTCAACGACTCCCCAGCCCTTCTCGATCGAGATGCTCGAGTTGCCGTGGATCGAGCTTTCGTCGTCGCAGCAAATGGTCGAGCTGCAGTGCAGCGTCTTGTGCGTGCCGGTGCGCCGCGCTGCCGAAATGGACGGGGTCGTGCTGCCGTCCTCCATCCTCCTCGATAACGATGCCGACCTCTCGGCGACCGATCGCGGGATCTGGAACCACTACACGTTGTGGTATCTCCAGAACGCCAACGTACGACGCATCGTTTCGAGCGCTACGTCGTGTCGACTCATGGATGGTGCGAGTAGGCTCGAAAAGTGTTTTTGAAACAAGAGCTATTGTACGCGCTGAGCCACAACGACGTGATCCAGCAGACGCAACTGCTTGGTATTACGATGCCCCGCGCCTCAGACGCCGAGAGTCTCAACCACGCGAGCCCTCTCTTTTTTCGATGGGCCCGCTTTTGTCTCTGGTACGTTTTTGGTGCCATGCACCGGCGGCGGTATGATGGGCGTGGGTGGTAGGTATACACGTGGTGTCGTGGCCGGGAGTGTCGACGAGCTGCCGTGGCTTCTCGATGCAGCCGACGACGAGCCGAGCCGGCTGTCGCGGCTCGAAGAACGCACGCTCCTCCTTCGCGAACGCCTCCAGCAAGTGGAGCACGCCAAGTTTGACTTTGACGTGCTCCAGAAACGGGAGCTCGTGCGGATGAAAGCGGCCGCGAAAGCGGCGGCGATCCTGCTGCAGCGGTACGACCCTGTTGATAATTATGTAGGATATAAAAAAGGTTTGAGCAGGCTGAAGCGGCCCGTGCCCGTGCCCGAGATCGCGCTGCCCCCCGAGTTGGTGTCGTTGGAAGTGGATTTCTTCCAGCCGATCGCGCTCCCCGATGGAACACGCCTCGAGTTTGTACCGTGGGAAAGCATGAGTACGGTCGAGCAGGAGAAGGAACTTGCGCTCGCAATGAGCGACGTGCGCGTCCGCCTCGAAGCCATGCGCCACCACATCATTTTGCCCGACGAAGTGAGTGCATTGGCGCTGGGTATGATGTGTTTCGTGATTGTTTCGTGATTGTTTCGCTTTTTCGAGTTTACGAAATTTTTGATTTCGGACCATGTGTTTTACATGGGCTGTAGACGACGAAGGCCTCGTTCGCGAGCGCTGCGCAGCGTTTCTAACATGGTGGACGACAACCAACAACCCGACGCGCATGGAGTTTTTGAGACACGAGGCAAAAGAAGCGGCGACCGACGAGACCGTACATTTCGGGTTGCTTCCCAACCCTAATCCACGACGTAGGTGCAAGTCGCCGCGTCGCAAGTGGGCATTGACGTGGCGTTTTACACGGCGCTGCAGGCTTTTCATCAACCAGGAAAACCTTTGCCGTTGCGGCGCGACGCCGACCTCGAGGCCCATCGCGACGTGTACCACGACTGGTACTTTCAAGTCGCCAACGCCGAGCATTTGGCGCGCGTCGAATTTCTAAAACAAAAAGTAGCGTGGTTTATAGATGTATTCTTGTATGGATACGAATGTCCTGTAGGTGCTCAAGCTCAAGCGGCAGCTGCGGTTCCAAATGCTCCTCGAGCTCGGCCGGATGCCACCACCGCTCTTGTATGAGCTTTTGCCAGCGCCGCGCTTGGCCTTTGAAGTGGACGACATGAAAAGCAAACTCGAATCCAATATTGTGGCGCCACCAATCGAGGTCCAAGAGGTGCAAGCGGTGATCGAAGCGCCGGCCATTGTCGAAGTGCGTGAGAAAATCGACTACGACGCCCTCGCCAAGCAGCGCAAGGCCAAGGAGCGCCAGCAGTGGGAAGATGAGATGCTGGTCATGAACCGCGCGCAAATGGAGTCGGAAGATGCTGCCGCGCAGCTCTGGCGGTCCATGGTAGGCACGCACTCTATATCTTGTGGAGAATATCGTCTTCATCCGTTTTTGCATAGGACGACGAGCACGACATTGAGGTGGTCGAGGACATGCCGGCACCCCGTGTCCGCGCGGCGCGCGACTATACCAAATCGTACTTCTTCTCGTCGCTCCCGAGCTCGCACGACGCGTACGCCATCGCGGGGCTCGGCTGGCGCGCGGGCTGCGGCCTCTACAACGGCGACGAAGAGGCCGAAGCGCGCGAGGTCCCATCTTTGTCCCATACAAATCGTTGAAATGGTGTGGTCGCTAGGTGCGCGAACTTGAGCGGCTGCGCCAATGGAGCTGGACCGCCTCGATCGTACCGTTCTTGGTGTTTTCTAGACGCGCGTCGAGATGTACTGCGTTGGTTGTAGGTCTTCGCATTGCCGAAGAAGAGCGGCTCGCGGCGCTCGCCCTCGCCGAGAAGGAGCGTGAAGAGGAACGCAAGGCCGAGAAGCGGGCGCGGGCCATCGAGCTCAAGCGCATCCTGGCCTATCAAAAAGGTGCTTTCGTATCGTATCGACTTGAAAGACTGATAGTTTGTAGAACTGGCGGCGCAGCGGGAGCTCGAGCGACAACACGCAGCTCGAGAGCGAGAGACGGCAGCGATGGACGCCGAAGAACAACGGGAGCGCCAGCGCCTCGCCGACCTCGTCCGCGAACGCGCTGGCATGACTCGCGCCGAGGCTGAAACGCGGTCGGTCGCCGCAGCGATTCTCAAGGCGCGCCGGCACGACGCCGAAACCATGGCTGCCAACCGCGCTTGCATGCTCGCCGAGGACGCTCGGTCCCGGTACGATGAACGTCTTAAAGGGGCTTGTGACGACAATTGGTTTCAACTAGCGACGCGGCCGCTCATGCCGTGGCGACCGAGCGCGCGCGCCGGGAACGTATCGGGTTTCTAAAAGAACTCTACACGCCATTTGAGCCCTTCTTTGCCGATAATGCGGACGACGTCGACGACTGCCGACGCCTCGCCCCCGAGCTGCGCCCGACGATGGAACACAAGCGGTATACGGACAACTACACCTTATCGTTCGGCGATGCGCTCGTGCTCGAGACACCGGCGGCCGAAGTCTACGCTGCGCAGCCATCCAAGCGCTTCCAGGCGCTCATCGGCGTCCCCATCAACTACCGCCGGTGCGCCCGAGTTGCTTTGTCATCGATCGATACAAGATACGACTTGGGATAGACCGCCGTCGACACCGTACGCCAACGTGGCTGCGTCCATGGAGACGTTAGCGCGGGCACGGGCCATTCCCGGCATTCAAGTCGCGACACCCGGTGTACCCATGGCCCCGGTGCGATCCCGGCCGCAGACGACGACGATACCAGCAGGTGCCGAGATGGAGATGCAGCCTCTTCGGGCCGTGCACACAGCAGGGTAAAAGCTTGAACCACAACGACAAATGCATCGATTTATGGCCGTGTAGGTGGAGCCCCGAGCGCAGTGGTGCGACGCCATCCAAACGACGTACCAAGTACCGTCGACGGCAGACGCCAACGATGCTCTCGGAACTACCCACGACGAGCAGTACGCGCGCCTTCACCACAAACAATCAAATGGCGGGTATTTACGACCGAGACGTGATCCTAGGCGCAGTGTGTTGTGTAGATGACTTGTTTCGACAGACGACATTGCCGCCGCCGTTTTTTAGAGGCAATTTCACCGTCGTCGGCAAGCAACCGGACACGACGACGCGGCGTGGCGCGACGCCCAAGAGCGTCCTATCCAAAGCAGCTAGAGGGACCAGTGACAACGACGACGACGACCAGCAGCAGGCTTTTGCCTTGTCGCGCGACTCAACTTGAAAAAGATGCCGCTAACTCGCTTCAACTCGGACGACATTTTGAATGGGATGCGGACAGTCGTCGCGTGTCGCATCCAATCGGTGGCGAACAGTGTGGGGTCACGGCCTCTTCCCAGCACGAGATGCGTGCACTCGCAATGTGAAGGAGCGCAGAACGTGCCTCGAGGACGAGGTGCATCTAACTTCCGACGCGGGGACCATGCCATCTTGAAGGATGCGATGGAGGGGGCGCCAGTTGGTGTTGGACAGACCATACTACAAAAGTATTGACTGGTCCGATCACGAGCGATTACGTCGTCCTTCGTCAGCACCCAAGACAGCCAGTGGTCGGAGGAGGGCTCATATAAGGGGCGCATTCGAAGCAAGGCCAGAAAATGTGGCCGCCCCGCAGTAGCCAAGAATGTCGACTGCGTGTTCGAACGATGTGCAACGGGGTCGCCACCCCGAGACGCGTGCCGGCGTTGGACGAAGCAGATGCGGCTGTCGGCGTTCAGTGCGCGCCTCCACGTGACGTCGATGTAATACGATACATGTTCTAGCTGTGGATTCGACGACTCCTCGCTTCTGTCGCACGTAGCAACAACCCGACGTTGTGGTCAGTGTGTGAATTTTAGTTAGTCATCGCGCGCGTGACTGACTGTGTGTGTGCATGAGACGATGTGAGACGTGTGTGTCGAAAATCGCCTCGTCGCTCCGAGTTCATGCCTGGATCACAAGTCATCTTTGGACTAGAATGCAATCCGTTTTCTGTCTAATTTACGATTGCAACGCGTTCGACGTTGTCGCTGCCTGATCGTATCGTGAGATTCTCAAAAGAATTATGACGCGTCTCCGCATCGCTGGACTGCACAACGCCATTGCACCACGCGCTTGCGCGTGGTCTGCCCACTGTGGCATCATGCTGGAGTCCTCGCACCCCACAGGCAGAGTCTTTGATCATGATACAGGCGAAAATTTGATGTCATCGCCGAATCCAGGTGACTGCACGACTACAACCGACCAATATCCCGTGACAGCCACGATCGTGCCACGTGGGGCCAATAGCACGCGCGAGCGTTACCTGCACTTGAAACGCGCGCACTTCATTATGCATTTTTATTTCTATATATAATGATAAACTATACTTTTTTTAAATTCGCGAATGCAGAGTTCGGAGCGTGACAGCCGCTATCACACACGATTTTTGTCAATTGCAACAGCGGACGACGAGCCTCGTAATACGAACGCCGCAGCGACCACTTGCGAATTTGCCATGGCGCTCCCGCTACCAAGCGACTTTTTTACATGCCCGCCGCTTTCGCCGGGCGATCACGGAACCCTCTTGGCGCAGGCCGAGCGTCTCTGCCACGACACGGTGCTCAACGCCATCACGATGGCGCGGGCGCCGCCAACCAAAGTCCTCGTCAACGAATTTACGAAGCGCCGCGCGCAGGTATAACTCTCTTGAGCTCTATCGACCGTTGCGAATCTACGCGGTCATGTGCAATAGTTGCACGCGGGCACGGATATCTATACGCCCGAGCACTATGGCATCACGGGGTCGTCCCAGATCAAGGCGTCGTACGACGAGCTGTATAATTTTTTGATTTGAATTCGGACGAGAAACTGCGCAATTACAGCAAGGTCATTGGCCAAGCTGTCGTCGACCGCCAGACGCTGTATACCTTGTCGGCGCCCAGCTCGACGAGTCCCATGCGTGCCAGCGTCCAATGGAGTGTGATTGCGTGTCCGTTCATCTCGTCGGCGATCACACTCAAGCGTGACTCGTGCTTTCTCGAGGTAGGTCGCCATCGTCCTCAAGGTTTTAAACCAACGAGGGATCTCCTAGGTCCTCGACATGATTACGTTTGACGACAAGGCGACAGGTCGAAGTCGCCGCGGCTTTGCGCGCGCGATCCACTCGATCGCGTTGGACTGCTGCCCGTCGCTGCGCCAGTCGCACAACATTGTGCGGTCCAGCTTTGTCCGGGTATGGTTGCATACGAAACCGTCGACGGTTTCGCACACGGCGTGTCTCATAGTCGATTGGAATAGTCGGGGCACGTCTTCCTCGAGACCACTGTCCCTGGGCTCTTTGACCACTACTTTGCCTACGTCGTTGGCGACCCGGGGGCGACCCCCAAATTCTTCAACCTCAAAGTCTGCGAGCGCATGGTGGGCCAGGTATACACTCTCTACATCATACCACATGGCACTCACCATGGGGAATGTCATTAATAGATGCTCAACCTCGAGCCGCATTTGGCGCTGAAGCGACTCCCGGCCCTTTTATTGGGGGGCGGTACCCAGCGGCCATCGTACCGGTCCAGCGCTCGCATCGCATACTGCGAGTCGTGTGACACAAAATTTCAGTTTCTTCGAAGCAAGCACCACTGCTATCACTGCCGCCAGGTTTGTCGATGGCCTCGTAGAGGCGCTCGTGCTGAGTGCGTTGCTGCTAGATTGTGTGTCGCCGCTGCATCCAGGCCTACAAGGTCCCCGTGCCCGAGAGCGAGAACGCGCCGGTCGTTCGGCTATGCACCTACTGCTTTTGCGGCAACACACCCCAGCGCTCGATGCGAGGTAACAACTTTTGCACAACTTGTCATTCAAAAGGATATGGATACATACATGTATATTACAGGGGGACGCGCCCCGCCCACCATGTTTGCAATGGCCCCACGCGACGACAGCGTCGACGACGATGCGCGCTGGACCAATAACCGGCCGCTGCTCGAGCCCGATGGGTCGTCGTCCGAAGCCTCGTATGTCACCGCGTCGTACGGCGCAGCGTCGCCTCGGTTTCTCTTGGATCTCGGTGATGGTTTAATTACGAGTAGTAGTAGCGTTGGCACCGTGCAGCTCTACCATAATTGTCGTAAATAGCATTCAATAGAAAAAACAATATGTCGAATCCGAGGGATCGGAGGTCATTTGGCCCGTGGTCCCATCCCATACACACAAACGACGACCTTCCTCGCAATAAGTTCTCGCAATGAGATTGGTCATTGATCACTGGGAACATGGGGTGCTTTGAGATGCTCTTGATTACGTATCAAGCCGACACTTGGGACAGCGAGGCTTAAAGCAGAGCAACGAAGTAAAAAGAACGAAGAGAAAGAAGAGGGGGCAAACGGGCGACCGGGAAGCAAGCCAGAACGGTAATATATATATATACCAAAATGGAAGTGAGAGACCGTGCTGCGGTCTCCACAGCCGGAAAGTACGTATATTTTGGGGCATACAAACCACGAGAGAGACCCAAGAGGAGGGCAAAGCCCTAGCCTCGAGGGGGAAACAGCAAATGAGAGAGGCTAAACAAAGCCACAACAGCCGGGAAGCGACGAAGAGTCGTGGTCTTCGTGTCGGCTGAAGGGCCTCTGGAGGTGCTTTCTTGACATCGTGTTTCGCGTTGTCCTCGTTGTTACAAAACCATCGCTCGCGGGATTGTGGCGGCGGCGCGTCTTGCTCTTCTGTGGTCTTGCAGCCAGACCCATGACGACACGCTCTGTAAAGCTCTTCCTGTTATCGCGATTGGGGCCAAAGCGACGCAGTTTGTCAAGGTCCTCGAGAGATGACACCAGCGACTGAGGCGACTGGACGAAGATCGGTGACGACGTGACCTTCGTGCGGCCCAAATAACGGAGCACCTCGGGTGAAGAAGTGGCCAACGTTGGCGGGCAGCGATCTCGCTCAGCGGTACGCTGTCGCAGCGGTCGTAGAGCGTGTTGGGATGAAAGATACCTATAAGTTGACGCAGCTGCCGGCGAAGGAAGCCGTCAAGGCGCTCGTTGGCGTCCGGGCCCACGTGCCACAGTTGTACACACAAAAGACCGGGAGCACTTTTGTACCACCGCACACGGCTGCCATCTGAGATGAGGCCTCGCCGCAATCAAAAGTTCAACATGGTTTTAAATGCCGCAGTCGCCAGCCGCTTCTGAACCCGCACATCGGCCGCGTCATAGAGGAGGCATTGAGGCGATACATTATCCGAGCTTCTTGGTCGTGTGCCATGCCAGCGAGGCGGTGTTAGCTATGCTATTTGCGAGTCGAAGACGAACAGGCAAGTATTGAACGGTTCGAGCGAGGTACACTTGGAGGACACACATCTGCTTCCCACTACGCGAAGGCGTACTCTTGTGTTTTCCCACATGGTCGCACCCACAACGGCAACGCTAGGGCTTACCAGAAAACGTGCGAGAGGCATCTGTGGTCAGTTCCGGAAGGACTGTAGTCTTCCTCCATATGACGAATAAAATGATGGGGGTGGTGGAAATGTGGTGATATTATTGTCTCTGACACGTATCTTGAAATGTAACGTGCAATGCACAGTCGAAAATCTCCCGGCTTGGAGGGTACAGCACAAGAACGGCTGTGTGCAATCGCGCACTTCTGCCAATCCCGACTCGGATGCGCCGTGAGTTATGCTACATCCTCGCACGCCCGTGGCTTGAATTGTGCGGCTGGGTGGCGACAGGGGCGACGACCTCACATCGCTCGATGGATCTGAACGTTGAAGACGATTTACGCTAATTTTTCGATTCGGTTTTCTTCCTTGAGGTGGCGCAGTGGAGTGGTGGGGCTCCAACCGGTGATCGGGTGCAATGGGCCGCCAAAGTAGAAATGCGTGGCACATGTTGTCTACCACGAAACCGTTTTAATTCCGTTAAACTTTTCATTCGCACCGCCTTTGACACTGTTGGTGGTCAGTGCTGCGAGATCGGAAGACACCTCCCTGGATCAGGTACTGTGGCGCATGGCGCCTCAGTCATGCGGTGGCGCTCCTCGAACAAAATCTCACCCAATGATATATATTGCATGCATGGGATGCACGGGAGTTCCCACGGTAGTAGGCGGCCAGGCGGATCACCAAGGGTACTGTACTGCTCGTTCACAATGGAGTAGCTCGTCCGGAATCCCCAGCTACCGACAACAGTGGCTGATCAGGGCTCGGCGTGCAGCCAGGAAGACAACTTGAGGCGCGCGCGTAGAAACGCACAGTTGCATTGTCTTGACGCGCTCAAGTGCGCGCACCGCAAGTGCGCCATGCGCAATGTGGCCAGCTCGAGAAGGGTGTGCATGGCGACGTCAACGGTTATTTTGCATTTTGCCATGTCGTTCCCATTACCACCGGGCTACTTTACCTGCCCGCCGCTCTCGACGATCGAACGCGACTACCTCGTGGGCCAAGCGCACCGTATTTGCGCCGACACGGCGCGGAACGCTCTCAGCATGGCCAAGACGCCACCGACCAAGATCGTCGAGCACCTGGCGACGAAGCGCCGTGCACTGGTACATATCGAGTGCTTTTGCTATGTATTTTTTAAGCGGGCGACCAATAGCTGCACCACGGCAACGATATCGTCGACGCGTCACTGTACGGCGTCACCGGCTCGTCGCAGATTCAGGCCACGCAAGACGAGATCTTGTCGTTTTTTCACTTGGCAACGCGCGAGAAAGTCCAGACGTTCGCCAGCGTCGTGGGCCAAATGGTTTTGGACCGGGCGACGCTGTATACGCTGGCCGACCAAACTCGCGACATTGCAAGTCCTTTCTACTACGCCGGCGTTCAATGGAGTGCGATCGCGTGTCCGCTCATCTCCAAGTCATTGACGCTCAAGCGGGACACGTGTTTCCTCGAGGTAGACACATGTTTGAAATCCGTGTTCAAACGCTGTCTTAGGTTCTGAGCTCGATCGAAGTCGAGGACCCCATCAGTGGCATGCAACGAAAAGGCATTGTACGCGCACTTCACTCGGTCGCGCTCGACTGCTGTCCGTCGCTCCGGGCATCGCACAACCTTGTACGAAGTGCTTTGGTGCGGGTACGTTCATTTCCTGTTTTAGACAGTGGCTCCATGTTCTGTATGGATGTATTGGCGTAGTCGGGGCACGTTTTCTTGGAGACGGACGACGTCGGGGTGTACGATTACTTTTACACGTGCATCGTCGCCGACCCGGGCAACGTTCCTCGGTTTGTCAACCTCAAGATTTACCAGCGTATCGTCGGCCAGGTAGCTCATATACTGTATTCAACCACTGTATCAAACAGTGTCTAGATGCTCAATCTGGACCATCACCTGGCGCTCCAGCGGCTGCCGTCGCGGATCGCCGCTGCGCAACCACTGCCGCGGTTCAAGGATGCACGACCCATTACATACTGCGAAGCCTGTGACACGAAGTTTAAGCTCTTCGCTTCCAAGAACCACTGCTACCTCTGCCGCCAGGTGCGTCGACCACTATCCACTGTTTCGATTCGAACTATCGTCCTGCAGGTGGTCTGCAGCGCGTGCATCACGACGTATCAGCTGCCTACTCTCAACCACCACAGCATGGACCTCTGCACCTCGTGCTTTTGCGGCAACACGCGGCGCAAGTTTGGTAGTACACTGTTTTGCCAAACAGAATTTTAAACAGCGTTTTTGTAGCGAGCCACCGCGGGAAGCAACCACTCGCACCGTCCTGCACAAACAGCTCACGCGGCAGCTCTGACGTCTTCTCAACGTGGCGCTCGATGCAAAGCGTTCGTTTCTCGGCATCCTCAGTCACCGACTCGGAGGACAAATGGACGACAGTAGCGCGTCCAGCCCTCGAGTTCAGCGCGGCTTCCGAGGCCATCCCATCGTCCGAGGTCGAGCGCGAGGTTGCAGATCCGCTTGATACAACGTCAACCCATCTCATCCAGCTCTCGCGACGTCACTACATGGGCTTTTGCGGTCGCTAATCGCAAACCTTGTCCTCTATTATGTCGGCTGGATTTGTTTTTTGTTTATAAAAAATGTCCGTCCCTAAACAGCCCTACGAGTCTCTAAAGTCTCTACAACGTGTGCACGTACCTAGTATACACGGCAATGCGCCAAACTTGAAAGCTAAATGTAGGCCGTAGGAATGAACCTATGAAGCGGTGTAGGTGCCCCCACCAAGTTGATTGCGTGCCGCTCGCCAACGAGGATTAGGGCACGGGTCGTGGGGCATGACACAAACAAGTGGTCAAGGAGCCACTGGATCGTAGACGGCGTCATCGTCCATCAAGACACGTCCCGATTCCCTCGACATCGAAAGCAAAAACCACGTTGTTGTTGAAGTGGGTCGTCTATTACAATTGATAAAACTATGCAACGAGTCTGGCGGGCCTTGACAGCTTCCATCGCCGGCAGCTGCGTCGTCTTCTAGGCATCTTTCACCCGAACACGCTCGGCGACGTCGCGCTCTACAAGCGCTGCAACAGTGTCCCGCTGAGCGAGATCGTCGCCCGCCAACGCTGGCGCCTGCTGGGTCACGTGCTGCGCCTGGAGAAAGACGT